CTTGGAGCTGTGCCTCTGGCGAACAGTTACCCAACCTCCCGGCTGAACAGGCGTTACCGGAGGACCGCTAGCAGAGGCTAAGGCTATGCTATGTGGCTCCGCACCGGCTACAGGGGGCTGTCTAACTACCGCAGCTACTGAATGGTTTTCCATGGTGCGGAGCCGTGCTGCTAATTCACTAAGCCTTGCCTCCAACGCAGCAAATAAGCTACACTTATTACAATTAAAAGGAGGCAGAGGCATAACTGAACATCTGGCACACCGAGCAAGAAAAAGCAGAGGGAGAAGCCATCGCTAACTGTAAAGCTAATGTAGCTACCAAGGCTAGTAACGTGCAAACAACAGCTAAGAGATTAGCAAGAAAGTCATAGAAAGGAGGAGAGCTATAAGTGCTTAAACAGAACCAGTGTGGGTTAAGACTTGAAGTAGATGTTAAAGCAACGTTAAAGCAACTGAAGTGAGAAAGCAGGCTAGCAGAATTCACCAGAGCAGTACAGAGACGCTGTCACAGAAACACCGGAAATGACACAACTCGCTTACTGCAATACGTCAGCAGCCTCACATGGATGTAGCTATGTATGAGGAGCATTTCATCTGCACTTTCTTGTTATTGTTTATTGCGGTTTATTTATTTATTTATTTATTCGGACTCGGATTATTTTTATATAAACTTTTTATACACGTACATTTTAAAATTAGGTTTATACTACATATCTTTTCATAAACATATGAGAACATTAAAAAGAAGGGGGGAAAAGACAGAAAAGAGGAGTATTGAGGTTATGATGGTTTAAAATTGTATCTGTATTGCCAAGACTGCACTGTTTTTATTTTCTTGGATTATTTGTAAACATTGGCAATGTCTTGATTGTATGCAATACTTCTGAAAATAAAAAGAAAATTGCAAAAAAAACAAAAACAAAAACCGAAAACTATAATTCCCTAGGACTGCGCCATGCAGCTTGATACATATCAACAACATAGTTGTACTTCTTCTGATTTACAAAGTAGGGTTCTAAATAGGGTTGTAAAAAGATATATCTACTGAATATATCTAATATCTAGTAAAGCCGAACTAGTAAATACACTGCACCTAGATGAAATATGTTAAGAAAAAGCAAGGATGTTGGCTAATTTCAGATATTTTAGCTAATACTCTAGAAACGGCGTTTTTGGGACGTTAGGCTTTTGCGGCTTGTAAAATAGAGTTGTAAAATAGGGTCGTAAAAAGATAGATCTACTGAATATATCAAATATCTAGTACAGCTGAACTATCATGTTATTATTATTATTATTATTATCATTATTATTATTATTGGTGGGAAATTATAACAGTTATACTTTAGTGCTTTTGTGTGTATACAGGACATTGTTGAATCAGGGAATCCGTGTGTCCACCACGACAAAGGATCCTAATTGACTTTACATTGGCATTGTTTCCATGGTACCGACAAGTAATTTCAACCCATTACATGCTGCCACCACGGAATGCAGTGTTAAGAGGTCGTGGTCATTTCACGTATCTCTGTGAGATCAGGTTGAACCGGGGCTAACCGGTGCTTCCTCCTCAGGCTCCACTTCACTCAGCTGCCTGACAGACCCGTTGCTTCTTCCCACTTTAACCTGAATAACAAACCGGGGCTAGCTGGGAGGCTAGCGGAGCATTAGCCGCAGCATGACCGGAGGCAAGCACAGCCAGTTAGCCTCCGCTAGCCTCCCAGCTAGCGGCGGCTCTCCATTTGGATCCAACCGGAGCACAGAGCCCCGGTTTGTTATTCAGTTTAAAGTGGGAAGAAGCAGCGGGTTTGTCGGGCAGGTGAGTGAAGTGGAGCCTGCGGAGGAAACACCGGGACCGTCTGGATGTAATAGTCCGTGGAGGTGCTGCGGTGCTCGGCTGCACAGATAGGAAACCCCTCGGCTGACAGGATGTACCACTCTCTCACTCTGCTACTTTGTTTATCTCATATATTCCTCGGACTTCTGGTTTCCCTTTTTGAGTTATTTCCTCCTACGCAGGCGCAGAACATACATGCTAGTTGGCCATCGGATGTAGTCTTTGTAGTGTGTTCTTTGATGTGTCAGCACCTTTAAAGAACAGGTTGAAGTTGTTGGTTTTGTCCACGTCACCATCCATAACCTGGCTATTCTTCTTTGAATAGCCTGTGATGTACTTCATTCCCTTCCACACCTCTCTGATGTTGTTCTGCTGCAGCTTACTTTCCAACTTTCTTTTGTAGTCCACCTTTGCCTGTCACAGTCTCTCCTTCAGCTCATGTTGAACCTCACTGAGCCTAATACACAGGGTTTGTATGTGGGCTGGAGAAAGACCGGATTATGATCTGATCTGATCTGCCGTGAGATGGTAGGGCAGAGGCACAGTAGGCGTCCTTGCCATTTCCATAAAACGAATCCAGTGTCCTATTCTCCCTGGTGGGACAGGTGTGTCGTGTCCCTGTCTGCACACACAGTAGAGAAGCCCATTAGATTCACACAGCTGTCAGGCACGTTGTCATTCAGCCACGTCTGCGTGAAGCAGATCAGACTACACTCCCTGTAGAGTTGGCTCCTCACCAATGCCAGCAGTTTATCACACTTGTTGGATAGTGAGTTTACATTCCCGATTATTACCAATGGCAGGAAAGGCTTGTATTTCCACCTCCTAGCCTTTAGCTTTGCTCCTGCTCTGCAGCCTCAGAACGGCTTCCTCAGCTCGGCTGGTATCGGGTGTTTAACTCCATAAGTCATTTCTCTCAGAGCCAGAAGATCATCCCTCGTGTACACAACTTTACTCATCACATTTGAAAAATTAACAATCATTATAAAAGAAAAGACACACTCAAAAATGACTTAAAAAACAGGAGCTACTTAGACTTGCTGCCACTCTAACTGGCGCATCACTCATAAAAAATAATAATAATAATAATAATTATGAGTATACATTATGAGTAATGAGTAGATTTTCAAGTGTTTAAAAATATATGTATTAATTCTAACCGGATTATGTGAACTCTATATATTCTGATCCTCACTTGGAGAGGAAAAAAAGCTTTGCAGAGTCATTCCTGTGGGCTATGGCAACACTAAACCCCTGCGCTTGCCTGAGGAGAGCTAAATGCACAAACCCGCTATTTTTAAATATCCCATGGAGAGAGACTCTCACTGCAGCCTGTTCTATTTTTTTTTCTATTGCTAACATGGCGAACCCTGCTAAACACATCATATGGCTAACAATGCAAACAATTTAGTCAGCGGTGCTGTGAATAAAGCTCCTGCTTGGTAAAGGGAACCTTGTCTCTGCCTGAGCAGAACTAACAGCTAGGTAACACCTTGGACTATTCACATAAAGTGTTACCCATAGCATGCCTGGTCAGTAGTGCTAACATTTGAAGCAGCCTTTGTATCAGAAGGTGTAGTTCTAGAAGTGAAGCTCTTAAAGGCCATATAATATTTATGGCCCTAGTCCCAGTGGGAAAGAGGCTGCCAGTAGGTTTGGTATGGCTCATGCAATCGGCACTGTATCTTTTCCTGGGGCAGCAGAGGCTGCTCTGCTGCAAATGAGGCCACAGTCATACAGGCAAGCAGTTAGCTTTACTCTCTCAGACCACAGCAACTGGTTTTAAAACAAATGGAAAGACTGTTTATGACACAGCCCAGACTGCCTCCTCAAGCAGCGGTTCATCCTTGTCTCATTCCTAGCCCTCAACAGTAGAGTAGGCGACATACACTGCTGCCAGAGTTTTGGCGGTTAGTGGTGTTGCCCACTCCTGCTGACAAAAAGGGTGCCATTGTGGGACACACCACATGCTGCAGGACCACGTTGAAACCCTTGTCTGAGCAAAAAGGCAGAGCATATCATGGGTAGTGGGTAGGGTAGGGCTCCATGCAGTTTCTTCTCCTTGAAGAGACCTGCCGGTCATTCTTTTCATCTTACTCTGGCCAGGACTTTGATGGAGCTTTCCAGCCTACTAGGTCTGAGCTGGGGTAGGGCGGTAAGGCTTGATGAAATGCAGCCACTGTTTACACTGCTCCCTGGGGAACGAGAGACAGGCAGTGCAGGAGCTGGTCTCCTCCAGGTGATGCCAACCCAGGCAGAGTCAGTGCAACTTGTGGGCATCCAAAAGAGACCTGGACATGGCACAGGTGAGGCAAAGCTTGTTGTCAGTCTTTGTAGAAGTTGAGTAGAGCAGAGAAAACTGTGACACCGGAGGGTGACAGAAAACTCAAGATCTGTTCTCAAGGCAGTGTGCCTCAGAGGGGTAAACCAATAGCAAAACCTCTTCGACTACGCACAAAATGAAACCAGAAAATCTAAGGCATCCAGTCTGTAAGGGCAAGTTCTCTCCTATATTTTGGTCTTAGAATCAACAGAAATGGCTTCAAAATAGCGGAACACCATGGTAGCCTCATTATTCTTCAGTCAAAAAATATCTTTAGGTTGTGAAATTAATCAGGAAGCATGAAAAACCAAAGTTCACTCAAGTTCTGCTCTTTACATTGCAAATGTGTACAGACCAGAGAATACATACCCCCTTTCCCCCAAACAAAGATGGCTGCAACCTTGTGGCAATATGTCACATTAGTAACCACTTAAACATAGCAGTTGTGTACATAGTTGTGTACTTAATAGTCCAAAGAGAAAACCTTGGTTCACTGGTAACTGGCCTTCACAAATATGGCCTGCAAAAATATAGTAAACTTTCACCATGGTACAAATAAAAGGAAACAAACTGCAGGAGTGACTGCCCCCTGTTGAACGAATGAACTTCCAGGTCAATTCTCCTCCTGAGCATAGTAGTGCTGACGCGATAATAAAGCCACTGTGACTGATTCATCATAATCCTCTCACAGACCCTGTGGAGTGCCACCAAGGTGTCCAAATACTATCCAAACTGTGCTGAAAATAAGACAGGTATTATGGTTTCCAATGGGAATGTACCAGAATATCAATTCATTATTTGTGTGTGTGTGTGTGTGTGTGTGTGTGTGACTTTTTCTCACAGAATAAACACAACCAGATCAGTCAGACTAAAATCCGTGTGGCCTCCACCCTCCTCTTTATCCTGGTTGGCTGCATCTTGTTTGTCACCATCCCAGCTGTGATCTTCAAACACATCGAGGGCTGGACAGCTCTGGATGCAACATATTTTGTTGTCATCACTCTGACAACTGTTGGAATAGGGGACTATGTCGCAGGTGAGAGTTTATCATTCATAGTCAAAGTAGTCATTAAAGGAAATGTTGTGAATGATCTGATTAGTTTTCTACATGTTATAAAATACTAATACATCAGGACACTTGTCAAAAGTTGAATCAGACTTAGATGACATTTGTAGTGACTGGAGTTGCAGTTTATTTTTATTCCTCCCCGCTGGTGATAACCCTGGCTGGAGGCCTTATGCTGTCTTTCTGTCTGTTCGTCCACCTGTCCATCTGTCCATCCATCCCATCCTTGTGAACACAATATCTGAAGAATGCCTCAATGGAATTTCTTCAAATTTGCCTCAAGGGAATTTCTTCAAATTTGCCTTGGTCTTGAACTCAACAATGAACGGATTAGTTTTTGGTGGTCATAAGTCAAAGGTCAAGGTCACTGTGACTTTCTCTGTCTCATTGTTCTGAACACAATATTTCAAGAACGCCTTAAGGGGATTTATTAAAAAATTTGGTACAAACATTCACTTGAACTCAGTGATGAACTGACTAGATTTTGGTGGTCAGAGGTCAAGGTCCCTGTGACTTTGGATCCAACTCATTAAACTCATCATGAATGCAACATCTCAATAACAGCTTTAGGGAATTTCTTCAAATTTGGCACAAATACTCACTTAAACACACACAATTAACTGATTAGATTTTGGTGGTTATAGATCAAAAGTCAAGGTTATGTGACTGCCAATCTCATTCTTGTGAATATGATATGTCAAGAATACCTCAAGTACATTTCTTCAAATTTGGCACAAATGTTCACTCGGACTCATTGATGAAGTGATTAGATTTTGGTGGTCACAGGTCAAGGTCAATGCTTTATGTCAAGAACACTGTGACAAAATTTCTTCAAATTTGACACAAATGTCAACTTGGACTGAAGAATAAACCGATTAGAATTTTATGATCAAAGCTGAAAGGTCAAGGTCAGTGTGACCTCACCCATAACTCAAGAATCCATATGGTAATTATTACAAAACTCAACAGTCTAATAGAATCAAATTATGGAGTGATGACATTTTATATCCAAAAGGTCAACTTCACTGTGACATCATAACATTATGCATAAACCACTCTTCGGGCCAATAATCAGTGTCATATCTCAGAAATTTATTGTATAGATCTTCTGTGCTGTTGGGGGAAGATGTGTGAGAAGCATCCATTTAATCACAACACAACAACAACAACTGGATCATGCAGGTGTAAAACTGCAAGACTGTAATTCTAGTTTGGTGTGCGTGTGTGTGTGTGTGTGCGTGTGTGCCTGCTTGCAACCATGCGTGTGTGAAGCATAATTCACTAATGGACTTGTAGTGCTTGTGTTGGTTGACAGTGTCCTCACCTTTAAAGATCGCTGACTTTGACTACAGAACAAAACAAAATCAACCCATCTGTGAATTTCTCATTAGGCTTCATTCCGTGTTCAAGTGGAAAAGTGATGTACATTTCTTTAGCCATTCATGTCTTGTTTTCTTATCAGGGGGAGACAGAAGGATTCAGTACCGGAAGTGGTACAGACCACTGGTGTGGTTCTGGATCCTGGGTGGTCTGGCCTACTTTGCTGCAGTGCTGAATATGATTGGTGACTGGCTGAGAGTGCTGTCCAAAAAGACAAAAGAAGAGGTATGCTCTCATATGAAATGATTAACGCTCATATGATGAAGATGCTGATATTCATGTTACATTCTTGACCAGGGTAGGACAAACTTTGTCATCTTCAGGTTCATCACTTACCAAATATGACTGCAACAACAAAAAATCATGTTTACTACACATAATGTATTATTTTGTTTATGAAGTGATTGATCATTTAGCCTGTCAATGTCACAATTTCTGACACTGTGTCCTTTCCCAATCCAATCACAGTTCTGAGCAAATTTTTGGTTGGTGGAATATGCTTGATGCCAAGTGTAAGTAATAATGATATTGATAATGATAACTTTAGAAAACTTTATGGTAAAAAATATGATAAAAATGCATGCTAAAAAATAAAACTAGAAGATTGAGTAAAATCCAGTTAAAATAGCAGGCTAAGACAAGATAAAACAACCATCAGTTAAAAACACATTTAGGGAGAAAGTAATGGTATAAAGGTGTGTCTTAACATTTTGTTTTAAAGTTTCAACATACATAGGGCCATTAAGACCCTCAGGTAGACTGTTCCAGAGTTTAGGGGCATAATTAACAAAGGCTGCCTGTTTTCTAGATCTGATATGCAGAGCAATCAAGAGGCTAGAGTCAGAGGATCTTAGGGGTCCAGCAGGTACATATATCTTGACCATGTCAGACAGATAAGATGGGATAAGGCCATTCAGTGATTTAAAAACTAACAAAAAAAAAATAAAGTTAACTTTGTGGTACAGGTAACAGTGTAATGATTTTAAGATTGCAGTAATATCAATCAATCAATCAATGAATCAATTTTATTTATAAAGCCCAATATTACAAATCACAATTTGCCTCACAGGGCTTTACAGCATACGACATCCCTCTGTCCTTAGGACCCTCACAGCGGATAAGGAAAAATTCCCCCAAAAAAACGGCTAATGATGACTAATGATGGCAGCAGCAGCAGGAGGCATCTGGCAGGACCACGGCAGCAGCACAACCACACACGTCACGCTATCCAGGCTCCGCTGCGATATGAGTTAATCTGAGAGACAGTGGAGCACAAAGGCTCCGGAGAAGAAGCCCAGTTAGTGACATCCAGAATGGCCGAGTTAGCAAGATGCAGTAATAGGATACAAGAGAGAGAGAGAGAGAGAGAGAGAGAGAGAGAAGGAGAGAAGGTGCCCGGTGTATTATAGGGGGGCCTCTGGCAGACTAGGCCTAAGTCAGCCTAACTAGGGGCTGGTACAGGGCAAGCCTGAGCCAGCCCAAACTATAAGCTTTATCAAAGAGGAAAGTCTTAAGTCTTAAGTCTAGTCTTAAATGTGGAGACAGTGTCTGCCTCCCGGACCGTAACAGGAAGATGATTCCACGGGAGAGGAGCCTGATAGCTGAAGGCTCTGGCTCCTGATCTACTTTTGGAGACTTTAGGGACCATGAGTAACCCTGCTTTCTCAGAATGCAGTGTTCTGGTGGGATAATAAGGCACTATGAGCTCTCTAAGATATGATGGAGCCTGACCATTTAGAGCTTTATAAGTTAACATTAGGATTTTAAATTCAATTCTGGATTTTACAGGGAGCCAGTGCAGAGAAGCTTAAACAGGAGAAATATGATCTCGTTTCTTAGTTCCTGTTAGTACACATGCTGCTGCATTCTGAATTAGCTGGAGAGTTTTTAAGGACTTACTAGAGCTACCTGATAATAGAGAGTTACAGTAATCCAGCCTTGAGGTAACAAAAGCGTGGACCAATTTTTCTGCATCTTTTCGGGTCAGGATAGGCCTAATTTTCGCAATATTACGCAGATGAAAAAATGCAGTCCATGAGGTTTGTTTTAAATGAGAATTAAAAGACAAATCTTGATCAAATGTTACTCCGAGGTTTCTTACGGTAGTGCTAGAGGCCAGAGCAATGCCATCTAGAGAAACTATGTCATCAGATAAAGAGTCTCTGAGTTGTTTGGGGCCAAGAACAATAACTTCAGTTTTGTCTGAATTTAACATCAGGAAATTGGTGCTCATCCAAGTTTTTATGTCTTTAAGGCAGTTATGGAGTTTAGTTAATTGATTACTTTCTTCTGGCTTCATCGATAAATACAACTGAGTATCATCCGCATAACAATGGAAATTTATAGAGTGATTTCTAATGATGTTACCTAAAGGAAGCATATATAGAGTAAATAGGATTGGTCCGAGCACAGAACCTTGCGGAACTCCAAAACAAACTTTGGTACGTAAGGATGATTCATTACGAACGTCAACAAACTGAAAACGATCAGATAAATAAGATTTAAACCAGCTTAGTGCAGAACCTTTTAGGCCAATTAAGTGATCCAGTCTCTGCAGTAGAATTTGATGGTCAATTGTGTCAAACGCCGCACTAAGATCTAATAAAACAAGTACAGAGACGAGTCCTTTGTCTGAAGCAATCAGAAGGTCATTTGTAATTTTAACTAGTGCTGTCTCAGTGCTATGATGCACTCTAAATCCTGACTGAAATTCCTCAAATAAATTATTATCATGGAGAAAATCACACAGCTGGTCTGCGACTACTTTCTCAAGGATCTTTGACATAAAGGGAAGATTAGATATTGGTCTATAGTTGGCTAACACCTCTGGATCCAGGGTGGGCTTTTTTAGTAGAGGTTTAATTACAGCTACCTTAAAAGACTGTGGTACATAGCCTGTTAATAAGGATATATTGATCATATCTAATATATGAGTGTTAACTAAAGGAAAGACCTCCTTAAGTAGCCTAGTTGGGATGGGGTCTAAGAGACACGTTGATGATTTAGATGAAGAAATCACTGCGGTCAATTCTTGAAGAGAAATTGGGGAGAAGCAATCTAAATATATATTAGGTTTTACAGCTGTGTTTGAGGTTAGATAGGTACTATCTGAGGACAGGAGGTCATGAATTTTGCCTCTAATAGTTAGAATTTTGTCATTAAAAAAGCTCATAAAATCATTACTGCTAAGGGCTAAAGGAATACAAGGCTCAATAGAGCTTTGACTCTCAGTCAGCCTGGCTACAGTGCTGAAAAGAAACCTGGGGTTGTTCTTGTTTTCTTCTATTAATGCTGAGTAATAGTTTGCTCTGGCATTGCGGAGGCCCCTCTTATAAGTTTTGAGACTGTCTGTCCAGATTAAACGAGATTCTTCCAGTTTGGTTAATCGCCAATTCCTTTCAAATTTTCGCGATATTTGTTTTAACCTACGGGTTTGAGAGTTATACCAAGGAGCAAACTTTCTTTGCTTTGTTAACTTCTTTTTAAGAGGAGCTACAGAGTCGAGCGTTGTTCGCAGCGAGCCTACGGCGCTATCAACAAAATGATCAATTTGGGAGAGGTTAAAGTCGGCACGGGAAACCTCTGTTACTGAAGGTATTGGTATTGAATTTAACGACGAAGTAATCTTTTCCTTAAATTTTGTGACAGCACTATCTGATAAACATCTAGTATAGTAACTGTTGCTGAGTGGCGTGTAATCGAGTAAAAAGAAATCAAAAGTAATCAGATAATGATCTGATAGCAAGGGATTCTGTGGAAAGACTTTTAGGTTATCAATTTCAATTCCATACGTCAGAACTAGATCGAGGGTATGGTTAAAACAGTGAGTGGGTTCATGTACACCCTGACTGAAGCCAATGGAGTCTATTAATGAGATAAACGCGGTAGCCAGGGAGTCATTATCAACGTCGACATGAATGTTAAAATCGCCTACAATAATAACTTTATCTGATTTAAGAACTAAACTGGATAAAAACTCTGAGAATTCAGATACAAATTCAGAATACGGGCCAGGAGCACGGTACACTATAACAAATAAAAGTGGCTGCGAGGTTTTCCAGGTCGGATGTAAAAGACTAAGAACGAGGCTTTCAAATGAATTATAGTCCAGTTTAGGTTTAGGGCTAATTAACAGACTACAGTTAAAAATATGGGCTCTCTGCTTGGTTTTCATCAGAACCTGTGCTGCTGCATTCCGTACGTTACCAGTGGCTTTCTTAAACACACAAAACAGAAGAGCATTACATGTTCAAAGTTCAGTCAGGATCACTGACTACACCAAGGTTTTTACATGTTCCTTGGTGTTCAGTGCAAATAAATGTAGGTAGTTTTTCTTTCTCTGCTTTTGCTCCAATAACAAGAATCTTGTTTTTTTCTTGGTTTAACTGTAAAAGGTTCTGGTTATTGATAGAACTATAGTCTTTTGAATTTACAGAGATATAAAGCTGGGTATCGTTTGCGTAATAATGGAAATGGATGTTGTGATTGCTAATATTGCTGAGTGGTGGTAAGTACAGACTGAAGAGAAGTGGGCCTAAAATAGAGCAGTGCAGGACACCACATGTAAGGTTCATTTTATCAGAGTGGTTATCCATGGCCGCTCTGAAATGCCAGCCAGTTAAACAGGACCTGAACCATTTAAGAACTATCCCAGAGAGACCAACCCAGTGCTCAGATCTAACAGGACCAGCACTGAAGCTTTCTCTCACAAATGTTCATTGGAAAGGTCAATTTAAACTTTGACGAGGGCTGTTTCTGTGCTGTGCTGCATCCTGAAACCAGACTGGAATTTTTCAAACATACTGTCACATAGGAAATCATTCAGCTGTTAAGAACTATTTTATTCTGAAATCTTTAAAATTTAAAATGCAATGCAATGTCTCTGATCAGATGGTATTATTCAGACATTGTACACAGATACAGATGACATGGTAAATGGAGTGGGTGGTGAAATAGATGATTTTGTTTTTGGTTGTTCATTATTATAACACAGATATGCAACATGGTGCAGAAAAGTTATGTGTTTGGGAAATAATGAGTATTTCCTTATCCGCTGCGAGGGTCCTAAGGACAGAGGGATGTCATATGCTGTAAAGCCCTGTAAGGCAAATTGTGATTTGTGATATTGGGCTTTATAAATAAAATTGATTGATTGAAATTGAATTGAGATTAGGGCTATCTTTTTTTTTTTTCCCCAAAAAAGTCAAGATTGAAGACCGTTTTTT